TAAGACAGCTGCGGGCCGCTTAAAATTCATCCACGGGCCGCATTTGGCCCGCGGGCCGTAGTTTGGACACCCCTGTGCTAACAGCTCTGAATGACATTAATGTGTATGTGCTGCTCTCTAGTGGTAAGCATGACAGGCACAACTTTTTTTAAAGGTGAAATCAGCATAGACTTGGTTTTACTTTTATTTTTTATAAAATTTTACATTACAACAAGGATAAAAGAAAAAGAAAAGAAATAATAATAAAAAAAATAAGTACAAAACAATGCTTGTGATTGCAAAGGATTAAAAAGTCAACATTGTGTTTTGAATTACAGATGACTATATACAACAAATGACATTGTAACCGGCAGATAACACAGATAAATTGGGGCGACTATACTTCACATTGAAAAACATTTTTCTACTTTTGGACTAGATTAATTCATTTTGTAAGACCTGATGCTTGTGTTGGTAGGCTATAATGGAGCTGTTTCTAGCTTTACCCCGGGTTATCATCGTTTTAAACCTGCTTTTAACCCCAGGCAATGAAAAGTATTGCACTTTTACTTTAGAAGGGATTTAGCAGTGGGTTATGAAACCTGGAGCAAATACCGTTTCAAGGAGTGCAGCAGTGCCCGTCCACTTTTTTTTTAGTCCCCTTGGTTTCCAAAGGGGATTTTTAGTTCTCGTTAAAGAATTATAAGCTATGAAACCTATCAGGTGATTCAGAACATTACAAACTTTGATTTGAATAAAAAAGTAGTTGAAAATCGGACAAAAAGGCAAAGGTACCAGACAGCTTTCGTGAGAACAAGAACTACAATCGCAACTACAATCAAATTTTTAAAAATTGGAGTAATATAAGACTATAAGGGGTCTTTTTGGTGCAATTTTCTTCTAGTGATTCTCTGATTGGTGGACATTTCTGGTGGAAGAATCATGGGTAATGTAGTTTTTCACTAGAAATTCCACCAATAAACGACAAAGGCATCTCATATATGCTGATACATGAGGTTAACAACATACCACCAAATGCCATCAATTAACAACCTCACAGTAGATCTGTTTTTAGCAGTTCATATGTTAAAATCATTAAAAATCAGTTCCCCATGGAGAAAATAAATTGGGATTTTTATTTTGACTGCTGCTCTCTATAACAGGTTGTTTAGCAACAAATAACCAATCATAACCCTGAATAGCGCCTGCTTCATTAAATATTTGTGAGTTTAGTACAGTCACAGGAACTCTCGCATTGTATTTAATTTCAACGTTTGAGGGAAAAATACAAAGTTCAAACAGAAATGAATGGAAAATGCATTGATAACATTGCAGAATAAACCAAATTATTCTTACAAAAAGCCTATTCCGGACAGAGTGGATGGTACATTGAGGAACGAGACGAGTCGATATTTAAACGAAGCGCAGGCTGTGTTCCTCCAATCAATATCGACAAATATCCAAAAAAGAATGTTAACCCAGAGTTTACAAATGTAGAGTCTAAATAAACAGGTTTTCAGGCTAAAGTCTGAACAGTACAAAACATGAAAAAAGATAACCGAAGGTTTAGATTTAGAATGGGTTAACAATTTTAAGTGCAAAAAGTCATACTGTATCAGCTGTCAGTCTTTTTTTTTTTTTTCTAAACAAAAATTACTCTAAAGGCCTAATATATGGTTAGATGAACGGACTCTAAACATCATCAAAACTAGTTTGATTTTGGAACCTTTAATAAATTTATTAAACTGAAAAACAAATGTAAATGTAATGTAGATGACCTTTAAAAGAGATAAAAATGCATAGCTAAAATATTCAACAGATCGCAAGATCTGGAGAGTGTTGATGAATTGGCTCTGAAAATAGAGCCTCTAATGTATTATACAGGTGAAGGAGGTGGGAATGACATGAGAGAATGTCCAGATGGAAATAGAAATGCTAATACATCACGAGCAAAGAAATACAAAACGGAGTGAACAGATGTTTCACTCAGAGAGGTATGAAGGGCTCCAAACAGGCGGATGGAACAATAGAAGGTTCTAGGACACACAAAACTGGAATGTTCCTGGAGCATAACCAGAATTTTTGGCTATTGCTACAAATATCCCCCAGTGACTTAAGACTGGTTTTGTGGTCCAGGGTCACATTTGTCCATGCTGTGTACTGTAAATCAGTGTCATACATATTTTATTTTGTAACTATGTAGTACAGTGGTCTTTAGTAGCAGGTCAGTAGAATTTCAGGGGGGCCATCAATTACTTTTTTTAAATCTACTTTTTGACAAATTTTTATGAACAAAAAAATTTATCTCCATTTAACAAATTAATATAGAATTTTTATGTTAAATATTAAGTTCCTATAACTTCAACCAAACCTAAAAGTTAAGAAACTAAGGTTCAGCTGTCACATTAAGATGTATTAAGTAAAATTAAATGTATGACTCTAAGCATCAATAATGATTATTTTATTGTTTTTGCAGTACTGAAATGTTAAAACATGGTTTATTATTAATGCATGTTAATATATTCACATGCTATTATATGCCAGGCAACAAGCCACACCAGTCAGGCAGATTTTAGAACTGAAACAATGAATGCATTAATGATTTTTAATATCTATTTTGTAATGAGCTGCTGTGAAGTGATCTTACCCTCGGGTGGCTGTGTCATGGGAGGCTTAAGGCAGTACATGTGGTATCCCCGATCACAGTCATCACAGAACAGAAGCTGATCCTACAGAATGAGACGGCGTCACCAAGCTGTTAGCTCACACACACTCAGCCATACGAGTTTGAGGTGTTGGAAATAATCTAAAAACTATTCTTTATGCTCACACACTATTTTAGAATATCCC